GAACAGGTCCAAGGAGGTGATCCTCCCCCTCTATGTGACATTGGTCAGGCCGCAGTTGGAGTATTGCATCCAGTTCTGGGTGCCACACTTCCGGAGGGACATGGATAGCATTGAGAAGGTCCAGAGGAGGGCCACTCGCATGATCAGGGGGCAACAGAAGAGGCTATAGGACATGAACCTGTTCAGCTTCCACAAAAGAAGGCTGAGAGGGGATCTGGTAGCCGCCTACAGACTTGCCAAGGAGGACCAGCAGGCAATGGGAGAGTCCCTGCTCCCCCAAGCACTACTGGGAGTAACAAGGAATAACGGCTATAAACTGACTGAGAGTAGATTCAGGCTGGACATCAGGAGGCACTACTTCACAGTCAGGGTGTCTAGGAGCTGGAACCAACTTCCAAGGGAGGTGGTGCTCACCCCTACCCTGGGTGTCTTCAAAAAGAGGCTAGACAATCATCTGGCCGGGGTCGTTTGACCCCAGCATCCTTTCCGGCCCATGGCAGGGGGTCAGACTTGATGATCTGTTTAAGTCCCTTCTGACCCTACCAACTATGAAACTATGAGTGAGGCACCGGTGTGTACACACCCCCCAAACATACCCTTTTGTGCCTAATGGGCTTCCCTCCTGTGTCATGCAGCCCTGTGGAGAAAGCAGCTGTCTCCAGTGCATGGGCTTTCCTCCCGTGCTGTGTGAGTGCAGGGGCTGTGAGTGCATGGTGGGTAGTGCCTACAATAGAGACTGCCTGGTGGGGGCTGCACCCCAGGCCACAATGTGCAGCACTGGCCGGAGCTGCACCCCACCAAAGGACCAGTGCCTGCACCTGGCATAAGCATCCTGAGTTGTCCAGCCTGCTGCTGCTGCACCATGGGGGCAGTGTGTAGGGGGGGCCCACACCCCCCTCACCCTCCCTCATATCCCACAAATGCTACACACCCATACCCTGCTCCCACACACCCTCACATATACAAAACCACTCCAGCCCAAGCTCTTCCCAGCACGTGGGTGGAGGTGGGGCATTGAGGTGGGGCTGCACCAGATGGTTGATGGCAGCAGCACTGGGAGCAGAGCAACAGAGAAATTTGGGGTGGATGCAACATCCTTCCAGCTCCGCCAGCACCCGCTCCGGGCCCAGCCCCCACTGAGAAGAGCCCCACGCAGCCCCAGCTGCAGCCCGCCCTGCCCCATATAGGTCCAACAGGGACCCCCATGCCCTCCCAGGTTGCAAGCAGTGGCAGGAGCTGGTTCCCTCTCTCTGCACAAGCCACCGCTCCACACCCCCTGCCCTGCCTGGGCAGTCCCTGCCCCTGCCCCCTCCCTCACCCTAGGGGGCATTGATCTGTCCCCTCAAGCTCCTTCCCTCTCCCTTCCCCTTCCACTACACTGGACTTACAAGCTGGAGGTAGCTGTATTGGAAATTGGATCGGTATCAGCCAATATGCCTCCTTAAATTTTGGCTGTTGGTATCGGCCCCCAAAAATCTCTATCAGTGTACCCCTAATTGCCTGCCCCTGATTTACACACACCGGATCTGCATGTAGTCTTTTTTAAATCAACTTCCCAATGTGCTGCTTTGCACTGTTGTTTACCTCATCATGATACATTGCCTATGTAGCACTGTGGAACAAGAAAATATATTTCCAAAAATTGTAGCATGATATCAAATAAAGAATCTCAAAAAAAGGCATTTATAAATGTTATTCATGCCTTCATAAAATTGGAGTAACATAATTATTCAAGCAGTTGGGGCAAATTCATTGCATTCTTTAAAATTACCTGGCTGGATAAAGAGCATGCCAAATTCTCAAATCCAAGGTAGTTCAGACACTTGGCCAACATTTGTTGATGTGATTTCTGTAATAGGTCCTCATATTTTTCAAGAAGCTCATGAACTCTTCTCATCACTTGAACAGCTATACTTAGATCTTTGGACTTTTCACCTTTAAAAAAATAAAGCAGTTGATATATGATCAAATCAGCAGGGACTTTTCCATATTTAGTTTGTTTTGGGAGGACTCAGTCCAACCAACCAAGAACGTGGCTTTCAGAATCCCAGGGGTGAGGCCATGGATATTTTCTTTGCTTGAGTTACATGACAGAAGTTACTGAAGAACACTACTTCTTGCTGCCCAAGCAGCCCCAGTCATAGAAGTGGAGGAAATCATGAACATGTAACAGTACTACACGTACACAAACAACAAGTGAACACTTACTAACTACTCTTCCAACCTCATTATTTCTGTACTCTCTGCTGCACAAATAAGCTTTGGGTATATTTAAACTACATACTGGGTGTGTCTACACATGCATTTACTGATTAGTAACTTACTGTGCAGTAACTTACTGTGCAGTAAGCAGCTTTTAGACCAGCATTTACAAATGTAGGCATTACTGTGCAATAACACTGTGTGTGCTCTGATTTAGGAGTAAAGTTACTTCCAAGTCAGAGCGTACATACAGTACTGCTGTGCAGTAAGGTGTCTACGTGTGCCTTACTGTGCAGTCACTTAGTGGGCGTAACTGTGCTACCTGCATTATGCAGGCAGCAAATTGATGCCCAACTTGGCATAAGTCACCATAGTTAGTGTGCAGTACAGGCATGCACGTGTAGACATGCGCTCATACTCCACAGTAACTTTCAGTAACCTAAGTTACAGCACACTAACTGTGCATGTGTAGATGCACCCACTGCAGCATAGTGTACATATATCTAAGCTTACTCTAAATGAGCTAGCAAGTGTACTAGGAACAGTTTAGACACAGTAGTGCACCTGAGATGGTCAGAGTGTAGGATGCCATGGCTCAGAATGAACTCTTATCTCATACCTTGCTTTCCACAGTGTTCTTTCCAAACTTCAAAACACACACGCAATCCTGCCATTTCTGCTGCAAATTTCACAGATCGAGACTGACATTTCTTGAGGAAATTCTCCAGTCTGTTTATTCCAAAGGCAACATTTTTTTTAATTTCCTTTTCAATTAACATAGACAGGGCCTCCCATTGTTCCTGTTCTTTCTTTTCCTGCTTAGCTTTTATCCGCTTCTGGTTTTCTTCTGCAATTATTTCTGCTTTACTTTTCTACCAAAAAAATGAATAAAAACGTTTTAAAACACAATAAAAACAAATGGTATACTAGCTGATCCTAATCCTTGGGAGTAAATGGGAGTATTGCCCAAGTAAAGTTGAAGTAATGATTATAGGGCTTTACTTCATGTCCTTGTGTTTTGTTAGGAATTTTATTTAAAATAGTACAGAATGCTGTGCAAATTGTATTTGTAAACACTACTACATCTTCTACAAAATAGGCTCACTCAGTACCTCATACTAAATGTAAATGAAAAAACCTTTATTTATGTAAGAATGCTAGAGACATGCAAAACAAATAAGTGGGAGGTTTGAGTCTTAACTTGCAGGGATTTATTTTTAAGTCTGAAAAATTACCTTGTTTCTCAGTAAATTGAAAATAATATGGGACCTAATCCAATGCTCCATAAAGGATTCTTGTGAACCACAGTGGACATTTGATCTGGACTTGATCTGTAATCTATATATGCTGGGAAGTCAGAAACTGCATGTAGTCACCCTTTTAATAGGGGATAATACTGGCAGGATCAGATCAAAGTAGACTATCTTTATTACTAATATAGGAAAATCAAAAACTACCATTTCTAAAGCAAAGAACTTTTAGAATTTGGAGTATTTAGTGATATTGTCTCAAAACAAAAACAGACTACTGTTTCATAGTTAGTAGGGTCGGAAGGGACCTGAGCAGAA